AATGTAGTTATGATATATATCTTGTATGTGATATCTATAAAGGAGTATGACCTAAGATACCAAATATTATTTCCTGGATGGTGCAAATTTATTATTGAAAAATGCTGGAATTCTATTCCAAGAAACTGCTCAATTGTTGAGGAACTTGAAGACTTTATCAGATCTTATCAAACATAGTGAATATGTCGATGGGAATTGGAAATTGAATAATTTACATTTTCAGAACTACAGCTCTTTAGAATAATCTAAAACACATTAAGAAATTAAAGAGTGTCTTAAACTAGAAAGGCAGAAATGTGAGGAAATAAAATGGCAAAAAAGCTTTCCTACAAATACAAACAAAAAAACAAAAATACATGTATACTCAAATGCAATTTACACCAGTCGAATTTTTACTTCAAAATTAATTTCAATTTCAACTAACACTGGCACTTTTTTATTTCTAAATATAAAGAATATTAACATTTCATGTTGAATATTTAGGTTTTACAAGTGTCAATTTGTATGTTCCAAATGAAGGTAAATTTATATTTAATAATATCTTTTCATTAAGTCATTATTGTTTTTTTTTATAGATTATTAAATCATTATTAATTTTCCAGAAAACTCTATATCAGCAAATCAATCATGTAATTGTGAGCTTATTTTATTAAATATAAGTTTATACATGTATATTAAAATACCTGTTTGTATACAACTCTAGCATATGTAACTACTGAATATGATATAGATATTAATGCCAAATCTAAAAGTGTCGGCTTGTATCTTCAAAACGAAACAAATGAAAGTAAGATTTATTAGTTAAACCACGACTTTGATTGTATAGATTTTATTAATTGATATTTTATTTTATAATGTTTGTATATGTCTACGAGAGTTTGATATTAATGTTGAGAATATGGAAAAGATGCCCAAAAAATATCAAAACATAACGTAAGTTTTCTTATTAACAACGAATCTCGACGCTTTAAAATATTGTATACTATTTTAATTTTGAACAAAAACTAGATTTCAACGAGCATAAAACGAACAGTCAATGTCCTATTGATAAGTGTCGGAAGAATCAAATAAAAGGGAGAAGATTTCATAAGACAATAAAAAATCTAACGCTAACACTTTTTACTTTTTACTTTTCTTAGCAAGCAAAGTATCATAAATGCACTTGTATAACATAACGATATCGATACAGTCAGCACGAAAAGTAATGACGGACGAATTTTTTCAAAAATAAATAATAAAACAAAAAAAATTCCGATATGTGATTAAGTAGGGCAACATGCCCACATAAAATATTTACAGCTAAAGATCAGCTCCTCGGGAATATTTATCCACTCATTCTCCACTAACACAATAAAAGCCTCCTATGACACTGATTTTTTTTTAGCGACAATTTTTTTTACCTTTTTTTTCAACATTCCGTTTAAGGAAGACCAGATGTTTTTGATCGGGACTTATGACGGCCACAGAAGAACTGCTTTCGGCAACCGAGCTTCGAGATCGTTCTTTACGCGATTTGAACGGTGTTTTGGATCATTGTCCTGCTGGAAAATCCAGCGCCAACGACCGTACATGTTTGTTGCGTTATCATACAAGTGATTAGATGTACATGTACATGTATTAAGAATTTCACGGTACGTATAGATGCCGATCCATGTTTGTGTAAATGTGCACAAGTCGCTCCCCACATATGGAGTTTGAACAGGTGTTTTACCATTTTCACGCGACCACGCCAGGCAGTGTTTCGGGTTGTATCGTCAGAAAATACAACCTTGCGCCAGTTATAATCGAGATGATTACCTGCCCATTAAAATCGGTCTTCTTTGGCTTGAGGGGGTGAGAAGAGGAACGCGTCTTGGCAAGAAAGCAACATAACCGAGTCTAGAAAGCTCGTCACGGACAGTTTGCACCCCTACTTCGAATTCTGGGTGTGTTTCTTCGAGCCGCGCTTTGATTTCAGCCGCTGTAAGGAATGATTTGAATTTACGATTTGACCGATGTGGCGGCGCATAGCAGGCGAAATGTTATATGGACAACCAGGCGACGAATATCCGGAATTTGTCCGTTTTACGAGGTGAAGCCACATAACGTTCACAAGAGCGAAGTGGAATAACAGTTTTTTGCGAAATTGCTCTAGCATTGTGCCAGCCATTTTGCCAAATCTCTTCACGGTTTTACGATCGAATTTACGGAGTTGTCAGATATTTTTAAAGGTAATAGAAATCATTTTTTGTTTACCTTCGGCTACAAAACAAATAAAGAATGATGTGCAACATGTGAAGAATGTCACACATGTTCCACGGGTGCTGCCTGACGAAAAATTCAGCAGTCAATATCACCACCTTTACTTTCCGTGCTGACTGTAATGATAACAATAAAACAAATCGATTTTACACGCAAACAAGTGAAAGTTATTACATACTTAATTTATTATTATTTAAATAGTCACATAGTAGTGCCTATCGCTATCACTCTCGCACTTTGAACGAAAGAAAGCTTACTACATGAATGAATGAGAATCTTCAGATCTCGCCTTGCATAAATAAATATATGTATTGGCGATGAGATTTAAATTATTTCTTTGAAAGTTATTAACACGAAATAAAAATGGTTCAAATAGATTATAATTTGAAAAGTACAGTGGTGATTAAGTTTGTTTTATACTAAAGCATATGCGAGCCCGATTCCGAATTCAGTATATTTATATCAATATGTAAATAGAAAGTCGTAATTGATTACGGAAAAAATTCGACAGATATCAATAATTTATTTTCCAAATTGATGCAAATATAAATAGCAGATATGGTGCAAACAGCGATAAATTGTATTTTAAAAGTTCTATAACTTAGTAATTAGCATTAGGAAGTAAAATTTAAGCCATAAATATGATCAAGCCTTTGGATTTTTATTTCTATGTTATAAAATTTTAGACATTACAATGATTATTGACTTTCTATGTTAACTCTATAGAATATTGATACACGCATATTTTCGAGCTAATTCATATGCTAATTTTTATTTATGATATAAAATAAACAAAAAGTAATTCAACAAGAAATAATTTTTGTCTCTTAGAAAATATGATTGCACCGGTTTGCAATAATTTATGTGCTTTCAGCTTGCCAGTTACGAGGTAATTTAAATTTATTAAAGTCAGAAACTGATAACGATAAATGAATTCTGATCAAAACATTCCATAAATTCTAGCGACGCCGCAGAAGCAGAAACAGCCCATAAACTATCGCTATGCTGTGATACCGGAACGCATCATTCATTCACATCACAAAAAATAAGCGTGTACAAATCCTGAATATGTGCAAATAAATCGACTTTATCTTTTTCTTGTTTTGGTTATTATGGAAGATAAAAGTTTTCGCATTTATGATTCTTTGTAGCTTGTTAATTAAATAGACTAGAATTTCTTACTTGTATTAAATTTTCTTTGAAAACTAAGAATAAAAAATCTTGAAGCATAAAGTTAATGCCAACTTCATGTCTGACCAACAACAATAATGTACATTCAACTCTCTAAAAGCACTCCTTAGGGACTGAATACAAGTGTGCATTATAAAGAGTGTGCATTTGGGACCGGGCCAGAACGTGCATTTAGAAAGAGTATACATTTATGGATGGTGTATTTAGAGAAGTCTCACTGTAGTACATGTATTGTGAGTCATGTTTAGCTATTACATGTATCTCAGAGTACTATATAAAAATCAAATTATAAGTTTGGTTTTAATATTCTGTTATTTTTATCTCGCATTCTTCTATTGCAAGTTATGGATTTTATCATAATTTTAATGATTCTGTTATACATGTAGCATATTACTATTGTTACAATGTGAAGGATTTCATTTCCTTAATTCCGTAACATTAAAATAGTGTCAATTATAGCATTTTTATCTCTTTGGTTCTGTTAATAATAAATCTGTAATTGCATGCATATGTTAATACAAGCTATTATAATATTTATCGTTATATCTCAATCATTGAAGAGTTAATAAGCCCTCTTGTTCATCATTCAAAATTAATTGGGCTTAATAAATCAGCGTAACGGTAATACGTACGTACAGGTAATCAGTTCTGGGTCATCATCAATTGAAATTACTTAATATGTACAGTATAAAAGCATTGTTCATATTTTCGGTGAAAGATTTACATGTTTCAAAGAATACGTGAATCATTAACGTTAAATTCTAATGATAACGATAATCATACCATCGATATGTGGTCACAATAAACTTTTTTATTATCGTTATTAATGTTGCGGTATACAAGTGCATAATTGTAAAAGATCTACGCATAATTTATGCACTTTAAAAATGCAGAATTGTAAATGATCTATCGCTATGCACTTTGAAGATGCATCATTGTGAAAAATCCATCGTTATCGTCATGTATATTAAAAAAATAAGGGGAGTGCCACAAATTATGTGATTTCTTTTTTCTATACTTGAAAATTATTACATGTAATTAGTGTAATTTTCCTCTATGCACATTAAAGATACATTTACAAACATTAAAATGCAGATTAGCGCATACGTAAATTATGCACACCAAAAATGTATGTTTGTCCCTGCTGACATAACGATAGTGTTATGCAATACTTTACCATCGGATTTTTTGAAAGAAAATTCTTCTCGGTCATGTTTTAAAGAGAATGCTGGTGCACTGGAACATTCTTAAACACTAATTAAATTTTCTGCCCTTTTCGTCATAATGAGCACAAACCACAAAGCATCTTATTTGTCATCCTCATAAAAATTCTTTGCTATTGTTCGAATTGTACGATTCTGAATGTATACAATTAACACTCTCTAAATGCACTCCTTGGAGCAGAATACAAACGTACATTTAGAGAAGTCTCACTGTACATGTATATAGACACAAATCACTTTGATTTTCTATATAAGAAGCGTCTATTTCAAACAATACTCTAACAAAAACAAATCTGAAAAAAAATACTCTAAAAAAAATCTTATCACTGTTTCTCTAGTCTAAAGATGTACCTTTTCAAATTTCTTACTATCTCCACTTTTATGGTAATTAATTCTGGTCTTCAATTGATTTTATTCACAACAGACACACAAAACTAATATTTTTGATTTGCTTATTTTGTAGGTGTGTTTCTTCGGGAAGAACCTTGAAGCTATACCTGCACCTAACGACTCACCGTCCAGTACTGATGTGACGATTTATGAACACCGTAATTTTGAAGGAATTTCAAGTGATCTTCACCTTTTCTCTAAGGTATGCCAGAATATACCTGAAAATTTTAGAACTATTCTCAGCTCAGTCAAGGTCCAAAAAGATCATTGCGTAAACCTTTACAAAGGACTAAATTGCGAAGGTGAACCTTATTCGGCTTGCAAAGATATTACTGATCTGGATGTTGAAAATCGCTCTTATAATGACCATGTCCAATCAATTATGGCGGATATAAGAGTTTGAATCTGGCCGAATGATAAGATTTTTACATAAACATATTAGAAAAATATCAGGTGTTCAATTAGTATAATGAAGTTTAATTTGGTTCGAGAGTGTTACATGTATATTAGTAGAATTTTTGGTATCATGTATCGAGTTTTATAGTCGTATAATTTTTAATAGAATAAGATTTTACGATAAAATTTGGTTAAAGGCAACTTTTTTGATTGTATTGAATATAAGCTCGCTTCATTGGGATTTTCTATAACGTATTTAACCTCATTTTAATTAATTTGGAAACGAGGCGATAAAAGACTTAACCCGCCGAGACTAATTTAAAAATGTCATAAATTCCTCCAAGCTGTATCTGTTTCTTGTGCACCATATTTCCGGAAGCTCCTTACTGTTTAGTTAGGTATTAGCTGTTTTCTTGGGATTGTTGTTTAGTAATACATGTATATCGAGACGCTACCTCAAACTAATAATAACAAAATGGCTTCCAAATTCGCGTGGTTACCCGTGTTTTCAGCAGCATCAACTTTTATAGGCTGAGAAATGCTTAGTACTTTCATCTGGAATTCTAGTTTCAATGGAACTCGAGACAATTCTCAAATGACAGCTTGTAGTTTGATGCCTCTACACTTATCTTTATAAGTATCTTCTTCCTTTTCTTTTGGCGTGTTTCGAAACCGGACTTTCATAATACCCTTCATCACTTGGTTGCGTTCTTTGTTAATACGAACATTCTAGATGCAAATGACAGTAGCACGAATGGATTGAGGCTGTTGTGCAATGCTAGCATCAATATTTAATGAGATTTGGATAATGAAATCCATACCAAATTACTTTTAGTCACGGGTATACCAAATGATGTGGGGTTATTTTATTAGGTTCTTAAACACTTTTTGGTGTTGATAATTAACTCATTCCCTGTAAAAGAATAATTAGGCAAAAATCCTGTTTTTTAGTTCCGAAAAACCACAGGTTCAGTTATAAAATTTCCGAATTAAAATCTGATTAAAAACTGAAAAAACGGGAGACGCGATATCTCGTGATCCACAAGTTCAAACTGAATGAAAATACCACCATTCGATTCGTCAAGACTAAACGAATCGAATGGTGTATTTCATTCGGTTGAACTTGTGGATCACGAGATATTGTGTCCCAAAGTTACTGTATCAATTTTTTCTCAAATTAAAATGTATGCATTAATTCCAAACACGCTATCAATAAATTCACTAGTTTTGGTGAATTAATTTGGAGCACTTCTAAGTGTAAAAGTTTTTCAAAAACTGGGAACAAATTCAAGACTGCTCTGATAGAAGTGTAGTCAAAATTTAATGTGTTAGTTTGGGGGAAGGCTGTGAGCTCGATGTTGTAAGGAATCGAGGTAATATTGAACCCATATAGATGGTGAGTAATGTATTAGTTAATGGTAAAAAAATTTATGTATATAAAACATAAATGAAATAAAACGAATATATATCTAAATTTTTTTTGAAATTCGGGCGTTACTTCCCGAGGCGACTGTACATGTACACACCCCTACACTATAGTACCGGAAATTGAAAAAAAATAGTAAAACATAGTAAAATTGACATTATTGCTTCATATTAAAATTTATTATTTTATTAATAAATATTTATTAATAAAATAACAAATTTTAATATGAAGCAATAATGTCAATTTTACTATGTTTTACTATTTTTTTTTCAATTTCCGGTAATATAGTGTAGGGGTTTGTATTTATGGTGCATAACATCTAAAGTCATCAAATTTTGTATTTATAAATGGATAAACTTCTTTACTAAGAAGTAAATATAAAATTTAACCCGTGAATATGCTCAGAAAGAGCCTATTTTGATTAAATTTTATATTTACTTCTTAGTAAAGAAGTTTATCCATTTTATAAAATACAAATATTTGATGACTTTAGATGTTATTCACCATACACACAATTTGCCTTTAAAATCGATTTTCAAATTTTAATCGATTTTCAAATTTTAATCGATTCTTAAATTTCAATCGATTTCCATTTCCAAATATTAATCATTGATTTCATCGATTTTATAAAATTAATCGAACACGACGAACAGAATAGTTTCTGTTATGTAATATAAATAACTTCAGCGTGTCTTGTTTAAATGAATAATAATACTCGATTGTAAAGTTCATTTCTTTGCATTAATATTTGATATTCTGTGTTAATATCACTATAATTTCTTTGCGCTATTGGCATGGCTCTAAATTTTGAGCAAATACCATAAATAATTTTTTACACACGATTTCGATATTTGTATAAAGTGCTACAACCTATGTTTAAAAATTCTATTTATGTATTTAATAAATAGAATATCTATCGCTAGTATTAATTGTCTTTTTAAAGAGCAGAGAGGAATCAAGGAATGCAAACTATGATTATCATAGATGCTCCGTAAAAATTCTCAATGATTCAAATAGTATGTAATAGAATTGAAACTTACATAACACAGTAACGGTACGGTATAACGTCAGAGTTGGCGTTAATACGCATAAGGTTTCAGTATTATTTCAGTAATGGATTTTCTATTATAAGAATTTCAAAATTAATTTATGGCGTGTCATGTAAAGGTACATGTACTTGACGATGACGAAACCTTTCGCCACTTTGGAAACATAAGTGACGAATGACGAATCGTCTGACGAATGACAATTTGGCAAAATAAACATAAACACAATAGGTCAAGTCAACCTTTATCAATTTATCGGTTTATTTTATAATTTTACCAAAGTATATATTTAAATTATGCACTTGCACTTTTCTCAAGTTTTCATAGTTTTGATCGTCTATGACCTTCAGCCAATCAAAAAAATACAAAAAACAAAGTAACAATCAGAATCAATGCTTACAAAGAAGAATTTACAGGTGATTCCTTGAGACAGGTATCTAATGATATTGTGACTCCGCTTCCCCCGGCACTTTGTCTTTCACTTATTTCCCTTCTTTTACCGACACAACACAAGTTTTAACCAGTCGGCCCGGCCGACCCACCCGAATTTCATTGCCGTCAACTTCGGCCTGAGATATTTTCATCAGCCCGTATCACTATTTTAGGTGCAAGCATTATAATTGCTATATTGTAGCTTTTCGAAATCAAACTTGTAATTTACATATGCTATTTAAATTTATGATGCATTAACATACAAATCAAGAGAGAAAATAGAGATGATTATAATATTATAGGCAGATTCATATTCATAAACTAGCCTTGTTGATTAAATTATATTTCCAAGATTGTAACTACGTATAATCGAAATAACAGTCATTGAGAGTTAACATTCTTCTGCAATTGTTTCTTTAATGAATGCATTGGAATGAATGAGTAGTTTGATCAAGCGAGTACTACTCAAAATCAAAATGATGTATATGGTGCCGAACTCTTAAATCGACAATATGTTTCAATTTTTAAAATGCTATTACTCGACATAGATGCAAAATTTCCAAATCTGACCGGTAACATTTTAGAGCTTATTATAAAGAACAAAAGTTACCGGTCAGATTTTGAAAATCTTGCCTCTATATCGAGTAGTAGCATTTTAAAAATTGAAACATATTGTCGACTTAAGAGTTCCGGCCCATATGTTATGCAGTTTTTGACAGTTCTCTTTCATTGTTGGTTATTTATTTTATTTTCTGTTCCGTTCTTTCTGTTCGGTTTGGTTCGGTAATATTTCTATTTTTATCAAATCACCCTTTATGCTATTATAATTTCCATGCAAGTATGCCAATTTCTTATCACTGGTAAAAAGGGTGAGGTTCAGTTAGGGCTCCGAACGATTCGGTAAAAACCGTTACCGATCGGTCAGTAAACCGATCGGTAACGGTAATTACCGACGGTTTACCGAAATGTTGATCAATGATGATTAACGTTAATCATTGATTAATAAAGGGGTTGAAAGATTTCTGAATTTGCCAAAATATTATTCGTGAAATTGAAGTAAAATCGACCATAATGTCAAGTTTGAACACACTAAATAATAATTAAAAATATATAAAATTTTGCACATTGCTTCACGAGATATTATGCGAAACGTAAATAAATTGCTACAACGTTGGGATGATAAATGACCTGAAATGATCCAGGTGACCCAAATGAATAATGACTAGTCATTGGTCATTTAAAAAGTCAAATGACCTATTGGGTCATTTGAAATATTTTATATTATTTTAATTAGAAATAGCAATTGGTCACAACTTCTTGATTAATCATTGGCTGGCTGTATTTAATTTGAGTATAATTTGGAATATTATCTTGAAATAAACACAGCAATTAAAATGCTACCAGGTGACTTGCGCACATACAAAATTAGTTATAAACCTAACAATTTGAGTTCTTAATGACTTATAAATTCATTTAAATTCACTAATTCAAGTTTATTTACAATATCATTTTAATTATTCATGCCAATTCAAATATTATAATAAATTATTAAAATTTGTTAGAGAACAAAAGAAATAGGAGCTTCTAATGAATTATTGAATAATTCCAATAAATTCCATTTTGCCAATGGATCATCTGCTGGATGAGTAATACATCCACCCAATTCAAATTCAAGTGATTCATTATTTGCAATGCAATTTCACTATTATCTAAATAATTCTCATTATCTGATATATTAACTTAACTTTTAATCATATGTGACCAATACTCTTCATTAAAAGTTTCAGTATTATTAATTATATCTCATTAGCTGTTTCAAAAGTTTCACTTAATTAAGTTGGTAAATTATCAATAATCTCAATATCACTTGTAGTGTGTGAGAAAGATTCTGTTGATTCTTCTTGTATTATATCTTCATTATTATTATTATTATATTGAATAAAAGTTGTGATATGAATTTTTTTATATTGTTTTTTAGTCTTTTCAACTTCATTACATTTTTGCTTGCTTAATATATCACTGCACAATTGGCTCATAGCTTGTAAGAATACTTTCTTACGTGAAAAGTAATAAGATAAATTTATTAATTGTTGTAAATAAATT